CCTCATCCTCAGCGCCGTAGCCTGCGACCAGCACCTGCACACCCCCAGGGACTTCTTCCTGCTGCACCTCTCCCTCACAGACCTGGGCTGCATCTGCACCACTGTGCCCAAAGCCATGCACAACTCCCTCTGGGGCACCACAACCATCTCCTACACAGCATGTGCTGCACAGGCCTTTTTCTTTTATTTTTTTATGTCAGCAGAGTTTTCCCTCCTGACCATCATGTGCTACGACCGCTACGTTGCCATCTGCAAACCCCTGCACTACGGGACCCTCCTGGGCAGCAGAGCTTGTGCGCACATGGCAGCAGCTGCCTGGGCCTCTGGGTTTCTGTATTCTCTGCTGCACACAGCCAATACATTTTCCCTGCCCCTGCCCCAGTTCTTCTGTGAAATCCCACACATCCTCAGGCTCTCCTGCTCACACTCAGGCTACCTCAGGGAAATTGGGCTCCTTGTGGTTAGTGCCTGTTTAGCATTTGGCTGTTTCATTGTCATAGTTTTCTCCTATGTGCAGATCTTCAGGGCTGTGCTGAGGATCCCCTCTGAGCAGGGACGGCACAAAGCCTTTTCCATGTGCCTCCCTCACCTGGCCGTGGTCTCCCTGTTCCTCAGCACCGCATTCTTTGCCCACCTGAAGCCCCCCTCCATCTCCTCCTCATCCCTGGATCTGACCCTGTCAGTTCTATACTCAGTGGTGCCTCCAGTGCTGAACCCCCTCATCTACAGCCTGAGGAACCAGCAGCTTAAGGATGCCATAAGGAAAATGATGACTGGATGCTTTCAGCAGCAATAAAGTGCCTGTATCCTGGTGTGTAGCATTCAGAAGGGGACTCCGTAATGGTCCAGCCTTCCTGCTCAGGTTTTTCATGGATGTCATTGGGTTCTTCTTGCAATAAATTCCTGTGCAAATATATATTATTATGCATCTGCCTTCTAATTTCAGTGTCCACCCATTGATTTTGACCCAGAGATGTAAAAATGTTGAATTGTGCTCTCTGAGAATTTAAACAAAAAAAACATAAAAACCCCCAGGCTCCAGTCTTAGCCAAGGAGGGGGATTGGTCCAGCCCTGAGGTCTACATAAAAGAGAGAGAGAGAGAGAGAAACAGTTCCAGCTGTGACGAATCGGAGTTGTAATCCTAGAAAGAGAAGAAGAAGAACTCTCTAGTGCTGCAAAGTTTTTTAAAAGATCTGGAGCACCGGAAATGGAGAATGAGACTGCTTCTCCTCCTGAACTGATACAAATTGGGGGAGTGGTATTTCTGTAAATGCATTGTACTTTTGCCTGATTAGAACTGTAATACATATATAGTTCTTTGGTTTTTATCTTACTAGTAATAAATCCTATTATTTTTCTCCCCAATCAGGTCTCAGCAGGGCCATGTGGAGTCCAGGGTCATTGAAACACTGGGGAAACTCATGGAATGAAGGAACCACTATTGCACTGCTGAATGCCATGGAATCCAAGGGCCACTGTGACCCTGCAGGGCCTCCTGGAGCTGAAGGGACCATTGTGACACTGTCAAACCTGGAGGAATCAAGGGCCAACTGAGACAGTGCAGGTCCTCAATCAACCCAAGGTAACCTGGAAAGCACAGAAACTCGTGGCATCAAGGGGTCACTGTGACACTGTGGGAACTCATGGAATGAAGGGGCCATTGGGACAGTGTAGGGCCTCCTGGAACCTCTTCTGTTGGAAAAAAAAGAAAAAAATTATTTGTTTGTCTGTATTTTAATGAGCCCCACAGTGTGTTTAGAGACAAGTCAATCATCCTGAGGTACTGAGAGAAGATTGAAGAAGTTGTTCAAGAAGTCAGAAGCCAAACCCCAGATCCTGATGTGTCCACACATCTCTGCCTGGGTGTGGGTGTGAACTGACTGTGGTGTGAGTGTTGTTATTGGGAATCTATAATTCAGTCCCTGTTCAATTGTAGTAAATGCTACTGAATCCCTGTTAAAAGGGAATGTTGAAAATGTTGAAAGTTGCTCAGTGATTAGGTGCTACTGATCTCTTTTGTCCCCTTTACATTGTGTCCAAATCCTTTGCACCCTGACCCTTTTGCATCCCAAAGCTCTGTAGAAATCATTCCCTGTCATAGACAAATTATATTTCTCTGACTTCCACTTTAAAAACTTCCTCATTAGCTAAACCACAAAACAACTCCAATTAGCTGTAGGAATTTTAAAGACATAAAGACAATTAAAAGAAGGGAAATAATTTGTTTTTCTGTTAATGAGCCCCACAGTGTGTTTAGAGACAAGGCCATCATCCTGAGGTACTGAGAGAAGATTGAAGAAGCTGCTCAAGGAGTCAGAAGCCAAACTCCCACTCCCTCGAAGCATTGCTGGGCCCCACTGAGGGCAGGCACTGACAAAGCCTCCCCAAGGACTCCTGAGAGCAGATCCTTGCAGGCCAGGAGTGCAGGCAGACAAAGGAAAGTGTCTTGTGGTGGCCTGAGGGGCAGAGGCAGCTGCCAGAGCCAAGGGTACAAAGGCCTGGGTGCCTTTGGGCCTTGCAGCCCTGCCAGAGCCCTTGGCCATCTGTGCTGCAGGCTGTGCTCCCCTGGCCCTGCTG